CATTTTATTCCCATGCTTCATACCCCTTGATTGACTAACTTCTAACTCTGTACGTACAAAAGTAAAAATGTTCTATTCAATCTTTTTTCATCTTAAAATATCATAAAAATTAAACTATACAAAATATTCACATTTTTTTGGAGTGAAACAGAGTACTGTTTAATAGTCACCTTTCATTTTGGTCTGCCTGTCCATAGTGATTTTCGTTGGTTCAGTTAGTTCAGCAGGTTTCGGCATTTCGCCATCTTAATGTTTGGGTGATTTCTGTGGAATTAATGTTTGGGTGATTTCTGTGGAATGCCAAAACGCGTCTGAATCAACATAACCAGCGAGGATAGGAACAAGGTAACAGGTAACCATCAACCAATAGATTTATCAGCCCGCAGACCGAAATCTCACAGATTAAAACTAACGTGTATATGTGCCAATATATTTTCGAATATTAGGATTACAAATATTTCAATGTTATCGGCTAAAAGCTTTATCGAAATTGTTAAAGTCATAAATAAAAAAAATATAGATTTATTTGTATATTTGTTTGCGTGTCTGCGGTATGTGGTAATATATAAAATATTCGTACTGTACACAAATTTAAATTTAACCTAACATATTTATCATATCATATATCATGGATGAATAAAAGATGAGAGAAACAAAATTTTCTAATATTGAAAACCAAATTGCAATTGAGTTTTCACAGTCAATTTCCACATTATTTTTTTCCCCACCGAAAATGATTTTTTCATGTTTCTCTGTGCGTTTCTATTTAAATTATATAGCCCCGATATTTGATTTTGTCATATTATAATACTGTTATCATAAATAGTAAACTGAAATATCAGCATCTACGGGGAAAACTGGATAAATCCACAAACAGAACATTTCAGGGTTGTAATTTGAAAGTTTATAGTTGGTACAAATTCAATTTTTGTTTTTCAAGTTTATGTTTGATTTGCTAGTTAAAATAGGATAAGTCGAGTTATTAAGTATTAAAAACCACTATATTTTAAACGTGAGACAACTTCAAAATTCGCTTGTTAGTAGCAAAACGAATTCTTAATACAATTAGGTAAAAAAAACGTTGTCCTACCAAGACAAATATTCATTGCAGCATAGGTAAACATTCTTCTTCTATTTCAGTATGTGAGTTATTCCAGTTTACAAATGGCCAACTAGAATTATCGAAATGTTCGGATAAATTTGGGAGATATAGAAAGGCACAAATCCGTTGGAAAGAAATGGTTTCTTCTCAATTTCATCCATTATACTGCCTATCAGATCTAAAAGCTTACCGGAATATGTACTTATCATATTTAGCGAACATTTGACTTATCCAGTTTTGCACCGAGTGTGCAGAAATATTCTGCAGAGCTTTTACTTAGTTGGGACCGTAATGGGTATGTAATTTAAACTGAACAGACTACACCCCAAGGTTAAGTACTCGCCAGTGTTTCTCGGATTAAAAGAGTAATATGAATTATAATTTTCTTTGACACATTTTCATTAATCATACTAGGTTTAATTAAAAACCCTGAAGTCCTTTAAGAGCCCTGAAGTCCTTTAAGAGGGTAGCAATTGATTTTCGTACGAACAGCTCAGCTTTTTTTTTATTTCTTTTTTAAACTCTAATACTATTCGATAGATTGTAATTTAGATGCGTATTTCCTTTTTGAAAAAGTCTGGACTTTCTAGTGAAGCATCAAACTCTAAAATTTTACTGTATTTTAGCCATTTTTCAAATTCGTAGCTAGGAGCTAGAATATTTCAAAAATAATATTATTTTAATTTTTCCGCTCCTGCGCGTTTTTTAGGAACATTGCTCGCTACGATAATTTTCCTATTAAAGTACTACGAAATAAAAAAAAGTTTTAACATGATGAGTTTTCAAGAAAAGTGTATCAAAAGGTCAAAAATTCATCTTTTCAGCATTTCTGATCGAGGTCGAAATTTCCCTGTTGTCGCTAATTCTTGTAGTACGATGTTGATAGTCGATTGAGGCTATTTTCGACACAGAACGACGTGAGTCTTCAGTAAGGGGGATGGCGTTTTGAAAGTTCATAATAGCAAGACACCAGAACACTTGATACGCAACATATTATGTAATGCACATAGAATTATATGGACCCAGTTTCATTATTCATTTTGGACCGAAAAATAGTCGCTTCGGGGGTGGCCGCAACAGTTTAGGGGTTGTCACGGCTCTTATCACTGTAAGGCAAAGGTCCCGGGTTCGAATCCAGCGGCCCTGTATTCGAACCCGACATACTTACAAATGGGATTTTTTTCAAAACCACCGGCATCCGGAGGGTTGAAATGACCTTTGCTGTTGCGAACCCTCGTAAAAAGTATATAAAAATAAAATAATAGTCGCTTTTCCCTTATTAATTCTTTGAAAATATTACACTACATGAAATCAGAGTATCTGTATAAAGACTGACCATAACACGACATTTCTATCTCAAATTCGAAACAAACACATATTATTAAAAAAACAGTAAAGGGGGTAAAACGTTTAACATTAAATATTATGTTCTATTTAATCGACCTAACTGGGAAAGGAATCTTCGAAACATTAAATCTAGACCGGAATTTGGTCGTCAAGTCTCGGCCCAATCTGCATATCTTTGCATCTTCACTTCCGTTTTTTGCCTCGGTGATGAGAAATTGAGAGGATAATACAAAGCAGAAGAGAACAACGGTTGAAAAAGGTTATAAAAATAATTAATTAGACCGTTATGAAATGGGACAATTTGAAATTGTGCTAAACGGATTTCTAGCTATCCTATTTGAAAGAAATAATTATAAAGTTTAGTTAACAAACATTAATGTAATATAGTATTTAATAACATGCTCCTCTCTCTTTCTCTCTCACTCTCTCTCTCTCTCTCTCTCTCTCTCTCTCTCTCTCTCTCTCTCTCTCTCTCTCTCTCGCTTTTTGGCTCATTTTATGATTTACATTTACACGACACGAATATAATGCATGTTTACAACCTCAACAATTGCCACTTTAATTTAATTATAACAAATAACTACTTACAAAGTAGGTTTTTTGTTACCACCTCGGGTAAATCATACGCCTGGCTGTAAGTTTGTCTGGTCATGGGGACTTAACATAAACAAGAAGTCCGGCTGGCCATAGGTGCGTACGTCCGGTGAACGAAAGCTTTTGAACCCCGAACCACCGTAACTCACAACGTTTGTTTTTACCAGCCATAAATCCGAACAGAATAAAAGTATCGGGAAAGGTGTTATTTTCAAAATTAGGCACGTGCGTGTAACCGAAATACAATTTTGTTTAATTATTAAAAGAATTTTGGTGCCATCATAAATTCAACTTACACAGTGGATGTTATTTAATTTTCTCAATTTTCTGTAGAAATTTGTTATATTTTAAACAAGTTGAAAATGTTAATTTACATGCAGCATCGTATGCATTTTGTCCTTCCCTCTTTTATCTGACAAATACTAATCGCAATTGAAATGATTTCACAGAAAATGCAGTTCTTCCGTTTCTAAAAGGTTGTTAAAATGTTGTAAAATCATGTCCCAAACGAACAAAAACAGGATATTTGCTTCAATTATAAAGTTTGCTTTTACATCATTCAGCACCAATCACTCTCTCGCTAAACGGGAACACAAGGAACGTAATAATTTCATGTTCTTGTAACTTTCCATATAATTCTGCATGTTCTGGGCACGACTGTCATATACCGAAAGAAGAAATTTTCGAACTTCGAAAGGGGTAAAGAGTGTGTATAGTATGTGCGTGATAGGCGAATTCTGTTTGAAACTACTTTGGAAATTAAAAGTTAGGTTATTACTTACTAAGCAGTTATCTTTATACATACACCAGCCACCAACAAACTATCGTCTATTGTGATGATATGACTAATCTTTAAATTTTGTACATAAGTATTTAAGAATTTTATGGCTTGTTCCCGTAACTACAATAACTTATCAACGTTTGGACCTAATAATTGGATTAAATACGGATTTTTGACGGCATCATTGTAGTTTTATTACTAAGAATATTATTTTGTAACACTGAAAGTGTGTGTGTTATATTATTTATTTATTAATAGATAAATAGATAAAGAGAGTGACAGGAGAACGAGAAAGATATGTAGATTGATATATAGGTAGATAGATGGGTAGGTAGTTAGATAGATAGATAGATAGATAGTTAGATAGATAGATAGAGAGAGAGAGAGAGAGAGAGAGAGAGAGAGAGAGTGAGAGTGAGAGAGAGAGTGAGAGAAAGAGGAAGTTAGACAGACAAACACACATACACACACACACACACACACACACACACACACACACACACACACACACATATATAAAATACATAAAACTTATTGGATATATATGAACTTTGAACTTATATGAAACTGTGAAAGCATGCACGAAGCACGTCAGTTACGTAGCACATAAAATGCTCTTAGTTACAAGAAACTCAAAAGAATTGTATGATTATCAACTTTGTAAATTTTATTTGTTTGGTTTTCGTACCATTGTTGCTGAAGTTCAACGTATTTCAAAGTTCTCGTCAGTTTCTATACCCGGAAAGCTTTTTCGCGAAGCAAATGCCCATTTCTAACATATTAATCAACCCAATTTTGTGCAGTTTAACATATAGAAGTACGTCAATTATCGATTCATAAACGAGAAAGAGGAATAATAAACTATCTTTCAGGTCACGCAAAGACTTTTTTACCCCTAGAGTTCAAGGTGGGGTTGAATCGGTTCCCACGCCACGAGTTTCATCCTCCGGCCTACCAGTTTCACCCTGATAAGGCCAGGTTCAAAATTCTACCCTGCCCGATTGATGCAGCATCCTTGCAACAAGCGTTAAAATCTCCGAGAATTTCCCGTCCCGACAATTTTGTACTGTATCTGGACGATTACCATTTCCATATAATTTATTTTATCATAATAGCACCACTTTCTTTTTTTATGATTAAAAAAGTAAACAAACAGTAATAAATGCTAAAGCTCACCATATAAGATTACTTCCTCTTCACACTTGAAAAAAAATCAAATATCTACACTGAGAAGAAAATTTCCGAGCACACAATTCCTCAAATCATCACAACCGACTCACTGCTTCTTTTTTACTTAACGGGACAGGGGAAAAAGTAAGGGGAACGAAGGGCACTTGCGAGTTGGAGCAGCAAGGGACGGGAACAGACTGAAGTCAAAGTCCTCTCGATTTCTTGCGGGGCCCGCTACTCCAGCTGTGAAGTCACGAGAAGGGGCGAACCCGGCCGGAGAGGCACGATCGCGTTCTGGTCCGCTACGTGCTCCTACACGACCAACTCCCCCACAACTTTCCTGCGGTTCGCGTTTCCGGCAACGGCGAAAAAATCTCGCAACGGATCCTTGCTTTATTTTGTCAGCAAAACGTCGTGACATCACTACCGTTTACGCCCCAGGGCCGAAGTTGAAATAAGGAAATTTGATGGTCGTTCATATGGAAATGAGATGAAAGTAGAATTAAAAAATATTTAAACATTAGTGTGTTGTGCTTTTTTGTTGTGTGAGTGTGAATGAGCGGGAGGACGACGAATTGCTACGTATTGGTAGGAAGACAAATGATTGATAGAAACAAAGAAAAAGCCACACTGTGAAAAAACGATACATGCACACAAAAAATATAAGTAAACAGTGTGCGCGTGAGAGAAAAATACGAATAAGAATATGTGAATTGATGGACAAGTATATAGATATATGAAAAAAATATAGAAAGAGAAAAAGAAGGACTCAGAGAGTTAGAAAAAAGCTCGAATGTCAGTGAGTAAACTTTGAGATAGTGAATGAGACTAAAAAGGCGAGACACGGAGAAAGGTGGGAATAGAGAGAGAGAGAGAGAGAGAGAGAGAGAGAGAGAGAGAGAGAGAGTGAGAAAGAGAAGAAAAGAGAAGAAGAGAACTGATAGAGTTAGAAAACAATTTGCGATACTGTATAGAAGTAAGAAAGAGAGGTAGATAGATAAATAGATAGAGATAGAGAGAGAGAGAAAGCAGAAGTAGAGAGAGAGAGAGGGGGGGGTGAAAAAGTTAGTTGAAAAGAAGACTAGGAAGACTGATAAAAAAATTGATCAAGAGAAATAGAAATTAATAGGGACAGTCAAAAAGAATGATGCGAACTGACAACAGACACACAGGTTGAAAACATCTTCTCATCAGTTCTTAAATTTTAAATAATTATAAAAACAAAAAGCATTACTGGCGGATGTCACTATCGAGTGACTTCTCCGTTCAAGAGTATACAAGCCAATTATATTATCACAGTCATTGAATTAACAGTAATTAACAGAATTAACAGTCGTAGTTAATTCTACAATTATAAACGTCCTATAAAAGACAAAACACAAGGATTTAAAATAGACGAATTATCTAAAAGTTTTACATAGATACTTTTAATTTACTCGACTGGCATAATCCTTATTAAGGGTTCTCCAGATTTGCAATTATCCGTAACATGTTAATTTAACAAACATGCCTTTTTATCTTAGAATTTGTTAATAGGCTTGAACAAGCGCTAAATCCGCAATTCTGTGTAATAATTTAATAAAAGTTTTTTTTTCAATATTTAAAAAATACTTCAATGAGGATATTAAAGTGGAATCCTTCGAATTAATATGTAATAATGCAACGGGCTGATCGGGATGGTTTTATCAACCATCAGGGGTTATTTACACAGCTCGTACCGAGAAGAAGGCAATAAACGGCGAATCAGTAAAAAGGTTCCTAACTAAAATGCGGCACAGGCCATGTGAGGAAAGGCTTTATTAATGACACGGCCGCATAGAAAATCCAAAAAGCACAAAAAAAGCTTTAACCACATCTGAGGAATTGACTTTGTGCCAGTCGAGCACGATACGATCTCTAAATAATTACTCTAAATCTCTAATCTTTATATTTCTTTCCCTAGGTACATTAAATCTTCGGCCTTTATATTTCCGGTCTTGAGACATTCTTGGTTCACATGACGTATTTTTAACTTAGCAGATTTTATTTTGCAAGAGTAAATTTCAAAATTTCAAGCTGAAATACATTGTCAATAAATAATAAACAAAAATCTCAAATGGCAAAGAAAAATTATGTTTAATTATAGACCTGTGAGTAGATGGTCTGTTATTACAAAGGTACTCGTTTATTTCGGAGTCGCTTATCCTTTAAAAATCAAAACTTGACCGCAAATCTTTAGTATGTTGGATGTACATACTGAGACACTATCAGGTGTCATATAAAATGCATACAAATAAAAATCCATTTTAAAAATATCAAAAAAAAAACAGAATTACCCTGCAATTCCCGATCTTTTTTTCGTGAGAGTATTACCAAGAAAAAGTTATCAACTCCGTAATCACACTTGTATAACGTGATCGATAATCCGAAATCGTCCATCTGAACGGAACTAGTCCGGCGGGGGAGATTGATCTTATTATCGGCAGATCAACGAAAACTGTTACTGCAGATGACACCCGAGAGAATATCCGTCATCAATGTGGTAGTTTAAGGTAATCAGCTCCTACCGACTTCATCGCCCATGTCGATTTATAATTTACTTTCAACCTTTTACGCCTAATACATAAATAATGATGCCTCCTTTTACCCCCCCCCCAGGATCTCGCAAAATATCAACCACCATTGTTACTAAAACTGTCTTTGAAATTCCAAATTTAATTTATTTACACCACCATCAATTCGCATATTTCAGTATTTTCGGAAAGAATATTTCTATCCTTCCAAACATCGCTAGATTTCTTGCGTTGTTTATTAATTATATTACTTTTATATATTCATACTCTCGTCCATTAAAAAATCATCATTAACTATAAACAAAGAGATCGGTATAACTGATTCGTTTATTTTCAAAGTAATAAATAAAAGCATTCCCTTTTTTAGCTAATTAACAAACAGTAAGTTGAAAATACACCGGTTTTACAAAAAAGATAATCATGATAAGGAACAAGTTTTTCCTATTTACTTCATCTTCGAGTGCCTAATGATTAAGCTGGAAGACAACCGAAGCAATGTGCCATCTAGACAACAAAATACAAATATCATTCAAAGAGTGAATATTATAGTTGTCCCCATCTAGACCTTGGCATCGGAAATACCAACTTTCAGACAAAATTTAAAGTTTTTATAACATCCTACTGTATTTCGCCATCTTCAATAATAAGTCAGGGCTAAAAGCAAGGAACTGGCCAAAAAACACATATCGTTTCGTTTTTGTTCTGCCAGTTATGACTGGAGGTTTTAGTCTTGCACACTGGGTGGCCAAATGTCGAAACGCGTCTGACAACCAACTCAGACAGAGCAAAATGATCGGTAAAGACCAAATTGAAAGAAATTACACATTAGATGAAACTATTTTTGGAAAGATTCTATAATCCTCCGGCCATGTCCCTGTCGAACATTTTGCTATATCGTCATTTGGGTTATCAGTTACCAGTACTATGAAACTTAGAGGTTAATTTCTACCTTTTGGCACTACTGTGAAATATTCCAAATATCTGCTGTATCTTTACGAAGCATACTTAGAACGGTAAAAATCGACAAAAGCCCCCCTAAATTTTTTGTTTTAAACATATTCATTTGCTACGTAAATAGTTAAAAAAAGACTATTTGGACGTTTCGTGCTGTTGGAAATTTTTTTGAAAAGTGGTAGTCTTTCAGCCTCAACATAAAGTAAAAGTTCTGAAAACTTTGATACGATATATTCTTCGTCTTCTGGCCAAAAATACCCAGAAATAAAATACACTTTAATAAAATGAAAAAATGATTCTCAAACATGAAAACTAACGACTGTCACACCACCTCTAATCTATGAAATTTGACTACAAGCTTCTTTCTTATTCTGAATACATGCCACAACTAACGTTTTTCCAGACAAACATCCATAAGGTAAAATTTAAAGTCAAATGCACCCACTAGTAACACCGACCAATATGTACCCAAAAAATTCGTGAGTTCTCAAGATCTATTATAAGTCAAAGGATTGACAAATGTAGTTGAAATCTTAAGGAAAAAATGATAACTGCCTAAAAGCGGAGAAATAAATATTATTTGTTATTTTCAATGGCTAAAATAAATACCAAGACAATTCACACTTTTAGTACATAGTATATGTTGTGGGGAATGCGTTTTTTAAGTATTGGTATATATACAGGTAAAATGTATGTGCTCTGATCTTATAGCAGTACGTTATAAACGTAAAGTAATATACTGCAGGTGTCTGGTTGTAAAACCTAGATAATGATGAGCTGTTAATCATTGTAAGCTCGTGAATAAAATATTTTGCTTTTATTTAAAAAATCCTTTCATTCTTCTTTAACAATTTGATTTCTGACGAGATGGACAAAAACAGGGACGATCAAAAGTAGTTATCTACCTTCACACTATCTTTACAAACGCTCCACAGTCAGTTTTTGAAGCAATCGCACGTATTATTTAAATTTTAGGAACCGTCAATTTTTTTTTGCCGGCTATACATCGATAAAGCATAGATGGAAAAATAATCACTCGAAAGATTATACCAATTCATGAGTTATTAAGTTTCGGACCGATGGATCACCGAGCGGTGAGAATTAAGAGAGGGCCCAGGGATGGATATGATCCCTGAGCCCTGTAATTGTGATTGAATGGGCGGAGGGAAAGGAAATGAAACAAATGAGGACGTGCTGTTTGAGCTCCTAGCAAGGCTTAAGCTAATGAAATCAAATTGGAACTGAAGAATCATCTCTTAACAACAATTGTTACGGCTAAGCAGAGGAAACACGATAGTTTATTCCGAAAATTGGAGTTGGCGTTGCATCCGGCATTTAAAATTAAAATAAATTACGTTATTGTCTCCTTTACTAGATGAGTATTTTTCATGTAATTATATTGTTTGGTATGGCAGACAGATACATGATCCAAAATTATTATTGTGAAATTAAAATAAACTGTTTAACTTAATTTTGACAACCGACAAACATGCACGTTACTCCAACACAAAACTATAAGTTTCTATTGTAAATTAGTGATAATAATTTCAAAGTCGCGATGAAGACAATTTATTCTTCAAAAGAAGAATAAAGAAACTTAGTTTTATTCTTTTAAATTGATCTTATATCTGATTTTTAATATAAATTTATTGAGAAAAATACAGAAAATACTTGTTCTAATGTCTG